TGATACAAACGACGAAAATAAAGATAAAAGTGATGATGTGATAATTTTGGGTGGTGGTGGTGATAATAATGATGATGATGATGATGCTGATGATGATGAAGATGACGACGACAACGACGATGATGATAATGATGATGACGACGACGACGATGATGATAATAATAATAATAATGATGATGATGATGATGATGATGATGATGATGAATATATTGATCAACCTGATACTATAGTAAAACAAACACCAGTATAAAATGAACATTAAATCACCAACAAAAGATAAACAATTACAAATTTTCTATTTTTCTGTTTTTCATTTCCTGTCACTCTTGGTTAGATCGATAAACAATCATAAATAGATTACAAAACGTCTCTATTATATCTCTCCACTCAACTTCATTATAAAATATCTCCCTATATTTTACATGCTAATAATGTTTGAGCGACGAGAAAATGACAAGATTAGATTACAGATCGTTAGATAACTTGATACCTGGGATATTAATTATTTCTATTTATTTATCTTTTTTAAATCTGACTTAATCAAAATGATATCGATTTGATCGATACGAGAGGTATTACAGTTTTAAAAGATATAATTACGGCAGTTGTATAATGCAGTATGAATAATAAATCATGGTTTGTATGAATTTGATTGTTTAACAAAATATTCTATAACGATGATTTACGTTCGTAGAAGCTTTTTGATTGAAAATTATTGCTGAATCAGTGAATAAACGGGAGTAAAAAAAATGAAGTGAAAAGCGGTATTTAGTGGTTATTTATAAAACAGAATTTACTGAAAAGAGCTTGAATGATTAAAATATTTCTCAATGTGTATACATTTGTATTTACAATACGAACTGATCTTCAGTCATGTATACATCAGTCAATTGTAACATTTTACAGTCAAATCTGTGTATAAAGGCCATGCAAAGGAGAAACAATTCATGGTCTTTGCAGTCAAGTGGTCTTTATTCGGAGTTTACTGTTGTGTTTTTTATCACTGAAGATTTGTCTAAAAATTATCTTTATCTATAGGATGGTCTTTATTCGAAGGTGGTTTCTATGACAGGTTTGCCTGTATTTCCCGTCACTCCCCACCAACACAATTTTAATTGTTGTTGATGATGTTTACTTTTGAATACTCTTGGTAAAGAATACACACCGCAGCCTCAGAGGCAAATGAGCTCGGGATTACATGTATCCACTCTATTCTGTCGCCAAAGAAAACCCACCTCTTTAACCCTGCGTTGTGGATACAGACGGTCAAAAAACTTAACTAATTTTCTTCCCAGATTTCCAGCACTGTGTAAGGTTTGAGTACCGCAGGGGTAACATATGACTACCGGTATTGCATTACTTATTTATACACATGTACATTGTTATAGGTATTGCATAATATATTAAGCATACGCAACGTGCGATATTATCTCTTGTGTATGATTAAATCCTCTAGAAAAATAGATGATGTGTTCAAGCCGTACGCAAGGATAATAACAGTGGGTGATCTAGACAGACCTACCGTTTTGTATATGAAATATTAATTGTGATAAATAGAAAAACACAATAGAAAGAGACTGTCAAAAAGCACAATGTCTAAATAATAATAAGAAATAAAACCGAATAAGATTTTGTTTGGTAAAACGAATTTAGATTCATTACGTGCCTTTGGAAAAAGTAGAATATTGAAATATGAGTAAATTATATTTTAATTATTTCACAAAGAAATTTCATGTAGCCGAAATAAATGACATACATGTACGATGTACTAGTATATGAATGCAGAGGATAGCATATTATTATGCAATGCATTCGACCCATTTCTTAAATGTACACGAAACTTGCAAGCGCGTGAGTAGATGCGCCAACTATCAAAAAACACCAAAAAATGTCGATTTACATCGCTGTTCTTTTTTACTCCCGATCGTATTAAAAAAAGCATGATCGATCAAAAAGTTGCCAAAGGCTCGCGTCATAATATTTTTTGGATTTTTTTTAAGTTAATGTGGAATTACAATTCACAAGAGACTTCAATGGATTAAGAAGCCAGGATGGTTATATTGAAATTGCGCATGACGTTGACGTAACATTCAACGTTTCAGACCGCTAAAATCTAACTTTCATTTTACACTCAAATGATTCGGCTAATTGTGTGTAAAGAAGACCGAAATGATAAAAAAAAAGTTATACAGTTGTACGTAATTATACACATGTACATGTTCTTAAAGAAATATAGATGTTTACCTTTTCAGTATTCTCTGTTTTCATATAATATACAAGCGCCCTCCATGAAGTGAACGGCTTATCAGGCAGTCGTGCCATAACGTCAACCTCAATTTTCTTAAAATACTATCCTTTATTATCACTTTATCCAATTATAAAAACACATGAACACGTTTTTGTTTTTTGCTTTTTATCCACATGCAAATTCAAAACTGTTGTAAAATACTAATATATCCAACAATGTTTTGGTATCTAATAAACCATATATGTCTATGAAATAATACAGAAGTTTCCTAATTAAGCGATCAAAGAATAATCAGTGTTCTTTTTTTTATTGCTCATCGTCAGCAGGAAGCGATGTGTCTTCTAATCAATGACGTCAAAAGTCGCACTGGCTCGCGTGCTGACTTTAAGATGCTTAGCTCGTTCAATTAGGCAGTTAACATCCACACGAGATTGTATTCTTACATTGATACTGCACGTGAAATATTAATTAACAGAACAATGATTTTAGCGTGTTGGTGAGAACAGATGGCCAGATCTTGATGGAAAATATAAGCAAAAATCTATATTCTTAAACCATAAGTTACGGACAGTCTTTCTTTATGTAATATTCATGGATATAAGATGGAAACAGGTTTCGACACCTATACTTAATTATACGTTTGATAATTCGTATAAGTTTTTTTACTCTCTTATTGATTTTGGTTTTAAATAACTAAATATCAATTAACATGTACATTTTGTTTTAGATCTAGTTTTTACAAAAGCTTTCTTTCGTGCCATGTTACTGTTTCCAAAAAAGTAATTTGTTCATTGGTTTAGCCATCATTTGCTTCGTTCGTGTTTTTTTCGTGTTTTGGCAATTAGTACATACATACATACATACAGACATACAGACATATATACATTAATTGTTATAAATGATCTTGTATGGAAGTCAAAATAACATTTGTTAAAATTTTACTCCATTATCACAAATTATTCCTAAATTAGCGATTTTTTGTTTAAGTGATAAACATCTTAAATGTTTTAAATACATAATTACAACATTTTAACACATACATGTATGTTTGCCTTTTGGACTAATTGATTTACAGTCCAACGATTGCGAAGCGTTCCGAATGGCTGAAAGCTTCACAGGCGTTTTCCACGACCGGAAATACGAAATAGAGACATCCTTTGCAGTCTGACCTCAATTACAAATGCCTTCTATTCCCAATCGGAACATCTCTTATCCGAAGTTGAACGGAAAGGGCCGATAAGATTCGAATGGAACTTGTTAAAGTTCAGCAGGGTGGCGGTAAAACATTTAAAAACATTTAAACTAATTGGTATCAATGATCAATGGTATTTAAGATCTCAATCTTTAGATAAAAGATAATGGAAGATAGCTATTGTAAATAGACACTGACATAGTTGCTTAATTGACCTATTAATAAATATTAAGGAAGGAATTAAAGCATGCTAAGTGGCTTATGGGTGCTTAGACAACTGTGTTAGATATTAAGTAAGTCAACCTAGACTTCAAATAAGTTTGAAATGTTTCACCATGTCGTTTAAAGGCCCGCCATAAATGCCCTAGAAATGCTTTTAATTTTTGTTTCTCAAAAGCTTTTTATTTTCTTAGTGCCCTGATGTAGTTTCCAAAAAGTTACTCGATGCCCACTATCCCGGACCATCTTTAGTTTCTGTTATTTTTCTGGCAAATTAGTGCAGTTATAGTCATTAAGTATTTTGTGTGGAAGTCACTATACTACTTTGTTTACAAGCATTTTGCTACTGTCTTGTATGACTAAAAATCACATTCAGCTCTACTTTCTTCGGGTAAGAAACATTTAACATGCTCTAAAAACCATTGTTTCAATGTTATTTATCTCATGATTACCTTTTGTGAAAAAGGACAAAATTAGTCATGTGCCTTTAAAGTTAGTTTCCATATTTTTTTCCCATCAATAAAAACCATATATACATAGAAATATTATATTTCTTTCTGAATTACTATGTATTGTTATTTCATTGTTGCCATTGTTAATGACTTTCAAAATGATAGTTTGTATACAAGAATGGACCTTTCAAGCACAAGTTTTCCCACAGCTATGGATAAATTAACATTAGATATGAAAATCAATGTCAAAATTGAATACATCTATAAAAGCAGCCTTCGATTGACACAGCATTCAATCTTACTGATCAAATATTAATTTTGTATATAGGAATTCAAAATGTGGACACGTATATATTGAAATGTTTGAAAGGTAATGTTCATGAATGAATATCATGAAAAGAAATATTAACAATTTTATTTCAATAGGTGACCTGTGACCCTTCTGTAGAGATGAAAACGTTCGTGGGCAGGGAGTTAAGGAAAGTTTTTTTTTGTATAAATGTAAAATATAATGAATAAATGTTACCTTAAGCGTTGTAAATGATCACATGTTTTACTTTTTATTATTTTACGTATAGTTCGAGTTTGCAATGTTTCAGGCACACAAAAGTGGTCTGAACTTTTCGGTGTGTATTTCTGTTCTTCCTGAGAAACTAAACTGAGTCTCTGAAATTCCCAAACCCCATATATAAACATGAATTTTATTGTTTGTTCAGATGGTCATGATTTAATTTGTAAAAAACACTCATTTGCAATGAGAAGTTATATTAATCGTTTGATACATGTATATTACAGACAACGCGACATCTATAAAGTTTGGAATATCTTAATACACATAAAATGAAAAGTTTTGAAAACCTATAATTTAACAACTCGCACGTGCATTTACCTGGGTATCCATAGACCCGTGCATTCTGTCACCGGAAAGCCTCATATCTGGAAGGTCATTCTTGCTCCAAAAGGCCAGATGACTCATCTTTCTGTAAGAAAGAAACAAACCCGAGTTTTAAGACCACCTCTGAATAGAGATTACCTTATTGACCTTATAAATAAAGGTCACTTTTTATAACAAATATAATGGGTTTGCGACCAGCATGGGTTTGCGACCAGCATGGATCCAGACCAGCCTGCGCATCCGCGCAATCTGATCAGGATCCATGCTGTTCGCTATCAGTTTCTCTACTTGTAATATGGTTTGTAAGCGAACAGCATGGATCCTGATCAGATTGCGCGGATGCGCAGGCTGGTCTGGATCCATGCTGGTCGCAAACCCATTATGTTGGTTTTATCATGACGGGCTATATTGTTCGAAATGTCTTTACATGACATTTAGGAGAATTTTTAACACATTTTATTCTTACCTTTCACTTTCGAATTCCACCCGTTTATCTCTGTATGCCTACATATAAATAACATTTAAAGTCCCATATTAAAATTGAGTTACATGCATATGTATATTCATTTCATTCTGTCCAAATTCACTCCGTCTATATATAAGGAAATGTCACACACAGTTTTGATTAAAAACCGAGTTACATGTACATATATTCATGTATATAATAGTGGAGAACATTGTTTAATTAATACTTGTCCGGATCAATAATGTGTCTGTACATCAGATTAACTATCCCAGAATGCCATGTTCGATCACATTTATGAATGGTTTAATCCGCTTATTTTCACCAAATTAAACAAATGATAAAAACATATATACGGTAAAACCCGCATGATCACGGATTATAGTTACTCTTAATCCTCAATGTCAAACATCAAAGTAATTCTGTTCTAGCTGACACCACAAATGCAACAGCAATCGAACTTTCTTATATTGGACTCTGGACAGTCAGTTTTATATTGGACACTGGACAGTCAGTCTTATATTGGACACTGAACAGTCAGCCTTATATTGGACAGACAGCCTTGTATTGGACACTGGGCAGTCAGTCTTATATTGGACACTGGGCAGTCAGTCTTATATTGGACACTGGACAGTCAGTCTTATATTGGACACTGGACAGTCAGTCTTATATTGGACACTGGGCAGTCAGTCTTATATTGGACACTGGACAGTCAGTCTTATATTGGACACTGGGCAGTCAGTCTTATATTGGACACTGGACAGTCAGTCCTATATTGGACACTGGACAGTCAGTCCTATATTGGACACTGGGCAGTCAGTCTTATATTGGACACTGGGCAGTCAGTCTTATATTGGACACTGGACAGTCAGTCCTATATTGGACACTGGACAGTCAGTCCTATATTGGACACTGGGCAGTCAGTCTTATAATGGACACTGGGCAGTCAGTCTTATATTGGACACTGGACAGTCAGTTTTTATATTGGACCCTGGACAGTCAGTCTTATATTGGACACTGGACAGTCAGTCTTATATTGGACACTGGACAGTCAGTCTTATATTGGACACTGGGCAGTCAGTATTATATTGGACACTGGACAGTCAGTCTTATATTGGACACTGGACAGTCAGTCTTATATTGGACACTGGGCAGTCAGTCTTATATTTGACACTAGACGGTCAGTCTTATATTGGACACTGGACAGTCAGTCTTATATTGGACACTGGACAGTCTGTTAAACAATCACCGTGGTATACATGTATATATACTCTCCTACTTTATTGGAAGACATACTTGAATGTTGTATAAAGAATAAACTGATTTTTAACACGAAAATTCAACCTAACGATAACAATTGGGACAAGTTGCTAATTTATATTTAAACAGACATTACAGTGAATATTTGGTTTATCGTGAATGTTTTAAGTCGTTCATTCGAGGTTTCTCTTTGGCTTGTTCAGTTTTCATTTTCCATGATGCCAAATGCCTTTCTGGGGGCCTAGATATAGCACTTTTCGTTGCTTTCAAGGTGTCATATTCATTAATTGCGCCAGTGTGGACAGTGGAAGAGTCCGATGCGCCACTACCATACTCTTCCATCACACCCCGTTTACAATTTTGAGATGTTTATGAAATACTGTTCATAAAGACATACGGTGGTTCGAATTATTTGATTGAAACAATATCCAGTATAATATTATATTCTAAGCTTTAAAAAGATTAGTCGAAACTCAGAAAAAGACCCCGCTTCAGATGTGGAGGAATAGATGTAATGTCTTGATGTAGTTTATTATGGAACATTGGGTTCAAACATTAGCATTACGTAGTCAACTACCATTAGCCGCAGACCCGGCCGGTGGATCTGTTGGTTAACACAACAACAACAACAACAACAACAACATCATCATCAACAACAACAACAACAACATTAACAAGAACTTAGTCATCTGAACAGAAATACAGTTCAAGTGCTAAAAGACATAGGGGGATTCAAGCACAAGAAATAAATCATAATCCAAACAAATTATTATTAATTTTAATTATCGCTTACCTTGCTTTGTTGACTTTTCTTAATTATTTTCCATTAACTCCTTCTAACTATTTTATTATAAATAAACTGACCACAGTATAACCTGACGTATTTATACATATTTCCATTTTCAGACATGTAACAATAAACTGTTAAAATTGTTACCTTTCTTTAACAGTGAAGCGAAACAAGAAATGCAGTCAAACATTCCAGTGCCTTAGAACCAATCCACGATCAATTTCACTTTTTTTTTAAACTTCAAAGGTGTTTAAACTCGACATTCAAGCCTATTCAACCAGTGTATCCAATCGCATTGTATATGTATAGTATAGCATATAGATTTTGTTTAGAAGTCAAGCAAATTCCAATCTTTAAACGCTGCCTAAAACAAACGTTCAAATGTCAGATAATTCGAACGCTTAGGCCCCGAGATTATAGATTATTAATACACAATTGACGTTGACAATGCCCTGCGAGATTGATTACCACGATTAATCGAGTGAAAATAAAAAAGAAATAAATAAGCCTTTTCTTAAATATTGATTTAAATGAACACTAATTCCTTAAACGTCAAAAGAGAATTTATTAATAAATGATATGGTGCCTTTATATTGTAATCAAATAAATATAGTTCTGAATTGAAATGCTGCGTATAAAAATATTTATTGATGACAAATTTAATATTCTATTGTAAACATATTGTTATAATAAAACTATAAATAAGAAGTCCGCGGTGTTATGTAAAGGAACATGACAAACGCGCTTGTGTTTTGATAAAGTAAGTCCCAGAACATGTCAATAAATCATTCAAATAAATATTAAAACTACCTGAGCATAATGCAAACAAAATTCAAGTGAAAATACAATACAGAGATAATGAGGGTTCCATTTAAATATATATTTGACACTGACGGCAGAAAAAAGGCGATTTGTATTTTGTAAATTTGCATGTATGCATGGCAAAAATTGCCTTAGTTATGTACTTGCACCTTTTGCAGCACAAGTGATGTGGAAGCCGAATTTCATTTAGCAAACCAAAGGTATTTAAAGAGTCTCAGCTTTTCCAAATTTTTCTCTAGGCGTGCTCGTCGCGAAAGCTCGCGGCAGATTATCGTTAGTACCAGGGATGACTGATTGACCTGCCGTGTCTAACTCGGGAGGACGTGGTCTTACAGAGGGTCGCTGTTATGGACGACGAATGTTTTGGAAGTACTATCGTACTCCTCTGCCACCAACGAACTAAGAACTGGAATGATGGAAAAGACGTCACCGATGCGTCTTCAGGCGGACCGGTTAGGACGCCATAGTAAGGACGGTGATAATTATGGTTGATACCGACACAGAGTAAATGAAAATAGTTCTTTTTTCCAAAATTTTATAAGCTATGGTGGCTGATTTGGAACGCCATTGTGCTCTCATAATATAATTTTATTCAACTCGTTCAATAAATTCGGTATTGAACTTACACTCATTCAATATCCTGTATTTCTTTCGTCTAGTGCGGCATTAGGATGAAGACTTCCTGCCCAACAGTATAAAAACTGATATGACTGATAAACAAACAGTCGTACCTCAGAACATTTTTTTCGTGGTCAATCTATGAACTCGCCCCTGCAGTGAGGACACCAGCAATAGGGTAAGCATGCACCTTCAGCTAGGAAAAGTATTTCTTGTAATTCTTCGAGATGAAAAAAATACAACTATATAACAAGGGAAGTAATAACTGAATAACACCCTCCTTTATCTTCAGGATTATTTCCCTTGCATATCTATTGGCATATCTGTTAGTCTTTTTTTAGCTGTATTATACCTGGGATTAAGATAACTAGTCATTTTAAGTCCCAGATTATATCAATGTTAATGTTGCCTAGAAACATATTAATGAATGTTTCTTAAGAATTTTTAAAACATAAGAGGGGGAAAACGACATTAAATATACCAGGTTTACTTTTCTTACACCAGGAACCTGGGGCATACAATAACTTTCATCCCTGCAGGAACATATATGTACGTACGTATAACACATACCCAGTAACCCTGCTTGCAAAAGGAATGTATAAACCTCAATATTCAATTAAGTAATTAGCTAAATCTCGGAAGACCGATTAGATCATATTTTATGTTATCGATACTGGTACTCTTATATTAATTTCTTAATCCTTTCATGCTGGTAACGCTGTATCTTTTAACACTGAGCTGTATTTAAATTTACTGTATGAAATATCTGCTTGATAAATTTGGAAGGATTATTTAATACATTTATTTATATAAAAAGAACATAAAATAAAAGTGTACTGCATATAAAGGTTCTTCTCAATAAATGTTTGTGTTTGGATGTGAAAATCTTCTTTAAAAAAGCAACATAAATAGTTTAAAAATTTAGGCCATAGCAGAGACATAGATATATTATCTATGTCTCTGGCCATTTAAACTGTAACATCAAAAAAAAAAATGTCTAAATCGATTTACTGTACAATTATATACAATCCGACCCACACTTAAATTATCTACTGTACAGTACAGTACATAATTGTGTGAGAATTTAATATCTAAAGTATTCCCAATAAAACTTTGGTTGTTATTATAGTAATATAATTTAAACTTATCTCTAGTCACACTTGAACGACACGCTCTTTAAACTCCGCCCACTATCAGGTTCAGTGACCTCATTCGGAAATGAGGACAGCCTTTAACCCGGAAGTGATGCTGGCTTGTATATTATTGGAGCAAAACAAAGAAAAGATGCTGAGTGCCTTTGATATTTTCTCGCGATTTTAAGTAGTAGAAAGATAAACGTGTGTGAATATGTATTTAGGTCGAGCAAAGAAAGCTATTGATCAGTTGGATCAAAAGGAATTTCAAGAAAAGGAAGCTAAACATGCGGAACGCGAGTCGTCGAAAAGTGAGAGCATAGAAATGACAGAGGAATTCGCTCCGGAAGAGTTACCGGATGGTGCATGTTTTCGTCTAAAGAGTGTAAATGTGGGAACCGATGACGGGGCCACGGCAGCAAGACAGGCTGAGGTATTAATTGTCATTTATTCTCCCATTAAATTAATTGGAATGATAGTATTTTTAGGCTGATAAAAGGTTGTTATCGATATTTTTTGCGTTGATATAATTATGTAAATTTTACCCACCAGCCAACAAAATGTTGCTAAGTGTATTAAGATGATAAGATGAAAAAATGTAACTTTTTTATTTACTTAATAAATGCTTAATATGCAATTACGTGAAAAAATTATTTTGAATTGATGTTATTCATTAATTTCTCGGCCTGTATTATTCTGTTTAGTTTGTTTTGTATTGTTTTTTTGAATCTGTGGATCACTTTGAATACATACATGTGCATGACAGTTTTTGAGAATTCTTATGATATGTAAGGAAAATCAACACATTTTTTTTTTAAATAGAATGATATTTATATTTCACTTTTCATAAAAATTATACAAAAATGTATATGTTAAAGTTAATCTATACCTCACTACCTGTAGTGTCCAGTGTTTTATATGAAATGCCTTGTTGAAGCTAAGCATATTTATTGTTTGGTAATTATTCTGTGGTTTACTGTTAAGTACTTATAGCTTGTGTTACCATTTATAACCTTATGCTGAAGTACAGGCAGAAGTAGGATATTATCATATTATTAGTGAGTCCTTAGCATCCTTATACATGTACATAGTGTTAATAAACTTTATTTACTCACACTCACACTTTTATGATAATGACCAATTACAATGGTTTTAAATGTTTAATATTAGAATGATTTCTTAAAAAAAGACCTATATGTAGGACTATGTTCACACATACTTTATATTATCTACATGTATATATATATATGACTGTATACATTTTATTAAAAACTTTTAATTTATGAAGTAAATTTGCAAAAGACAGGTATTTTATATTGGTAACAAGTGTTACTAAACAATATATACATGTACATATTTAAAGACCAATTTGAAGTTGTAAATTTGGCAATTTAAGCTTCTAATACCATAGATCAATATTTGTTACTATTAGGACAAGGTTGTGAAAATGAATACCAGAATAATTATGACATATTTGTTGTTCTTCTCATAAAATTTACTCTGTACATTCATTGAATACCATTACTTCCAATGATAATTAGAAGTCATTTGAAAAGAATTTAAGAAAATATTGTATAGAAATTATTGGACACTATATATATAATTTACTTATTATCTCAGTATAAAAGTATAGGATATATAATTGGATATTAGATTTAAAACCCATATTATGAATGTATATCATACATGTAGCATAATTATAATATAGGGTTTAAATTATTATTCACAGTCACTCTTAGCTGATAAGTAAAAATATACTTAAAACTAAATAGCTGAATACATATTTTAAACGCCTCCAGATACCTTAGTTATAAGCCAAAAAAGTATATAATATACATGTGCAAAAATTTGATTATGCAGTTGACACTATCAAAGAAAAGCAAGTTTGTTTAAATTTTCAATTTTGAAAATTTTGCTTTTGACTCAAAATAGAAGTACCCTTGAGGCAGTGGGGTTGCCTTTAAGGGTTGAGGCATAAGAATCGCTGCCACAGTTTATCCCTGCCTGATAGTAAGAGGTGACTAAATGGGTTTGAATTATTAGAGTCTATGCATCTCTTAGCTCCAGCAGGTGAGGTGGTTTTGACCTCACCTGAGTTGCTTTAAGCATGAAACACCCAAGGTTAGTCAAAGTCATCTTTCCTGTCTCGGCGCCAGATGACTGTAATTGTGTTGGTGCACTGTAAAACCAAAGAAACTAAACCAAACTAAACCAAACATAGGAGAATTGTAATTTTTATGCCCCAACATACATGTAATGGGTGTTATATAGATTTGCCCTTTTTATGCCGTCCCCACTCCTGCTGTCCGTCCGTCTGTTGACTGATAAAACAGATAAAACTTAACAGTAGACACTGGTATTTGGGAGCATCCTTAATTTGGGAGTGTCCTATGCACACAATTCTAATTTAATTAGAAACTTATGAACGAATACATTTACATGTAATGTGAATTGCATTGACATCTCACTTTTATTTCTACGCAAATTTCATCTCATGAAGTTTCTTAAAGAAACATATTGATAAAATTTCTTTTGTTAAAACAGCCTTCTACATTTTTTCTCTTTATTTGGTTTTATAGGTCTATTACAACCATTTCCTGTAGGCCTGCTTTTAGAATCTTTTATTGTCTTTATCTATATAAGATCATAGAAAAAAAACTCCACCATACCATGTGATTGTCATATACTTTATGAGAAGTTCTTAAAGACTCTTTGATGTTCTATGAGATCAGAGAAAAAACAACTGCTTGGAGCTTAATCAGCTTATAGAGAGACAAAAGAAATGATGTCAGGATTGTTACAAGTAGTTTTCATATGACAGTCACCCAACTATTGCTTTATTTATATTTATTTTCGAAAAACAGTTATTAATCATTATCAGGTCATATTTAAGAACATATTTACAAACAATATTGTGAGTAAAGTCTGATTTGTCATAAAGATTATAGTATTTTATATATTGTATTAAAAAATGTTGCGGTCATTGCAGGTTCAAGCACTTGCATGATCAGTACATTGTCACTACATATGTTTTCAAATACTTGATGATGTTTTGCTTTATAGACTATATAGGGGCTTTATATGGCTGAGTACGGTAATAAATGTAAACTTTTAACAGCTGGGATTGGAAATGTCAGAGTTGACTTTGCGACCAGTATAGAGCCAGGCCAGCCTGTAAATCCATGCAGTCTGACCAGGCTCAGTGGTGGCAAAATCAATTGTCCTTATTGCCCAGGTTGTCCTACAGCCTATACAGACAAGTGGAAATTTACAATTATTTATAAATATTATACCTCATATGGACAAGTTCAAAATATTTCAGATAAAAACGGACAAGTTAGTCAAAATCAAATTTTTCCAGCCCAGATTTTCATTATACTGTTGGCAAGCAATTTCGTCAACTAAAGTAAGTGACCTGGCAAATAGTTAAAAATACAGAACTGAGATATTTGAAAATGTTTACAAATTATTTTCCCTCATTTTTCTGTGATAAATAAATCATTTAAATATGGAAAAAAATCTGGTGCCAGTCCCCACAATGAATCTAATAACCACGTCTTTAAGTTGTGGCCTGGCAAAATGACATAGATTTTGAAATTGGATACAGCCAATAAAAAAGTGCTTAAGTTCATTTGCATAATACTTAAATGACTGTGATTGCCTCATATAGTTATAGAAAACATAACATCAAGATAATCTTCATAATTAACTACTTAACTTAGCATTGTGAAACTATTTATGGCACACATTTTCATTATCAGGAAAATGATTGTGGACAAAGATGCGTGATGGAGTGGGCAGTACATAAATATACAAATGTAGATAGACATATTATGTCCACTGAAATGACATTTTCTTGCAAATTACGCTTTATTAAGTAAACAAGTGATAAAGAAAGTGTGTGCGTTATTATCATTATTATCTATTATCGTTTTTATATGCAATTATTTCATCTCATCTTCAAGATTTAGACTTGTGCATTACTGTTATGTCAAATTGGTATCTGTCAGAATCGTAGAAATAAGAATAATTATTTGGTCTGGTAGAAATGTATTCATAAAGTGTCTTGCTAAATGCACTTTCGTGTAACTATGACTTAGAATGTATATTGACCAATGAAAATCCGGATATATATTTGAGACAAAACTTTAGAATCTATTGTATAAGGCCATGTACTGGAACATCTTTGAAGATTCAAGCATCTTGTCATGCAGTAGTTAAGGATTAGCTAGAAAAGATTAATTCAGTGTATAGGCTTGTACAGCAACCAATTAATGACGCTAAAGATTAACAAATTTATACTTTTTTGAGTTTTCTTAAAATTTTGGAAGTGTATTGAAATATATGAATCTGTAAATATATATTATTGTATGAAAGTATGGTTTCAATATGACAAGTAGTTTGTAATTTCAAGGTTGTCAACCAACAAAATATTACATTGAAAGGAAAACATGTGAGGTTATAATATTCCTGACTATTTAGTTTGATGCTTGCTCATATTTACATATAATGTTATTATTAAGTACACCTTAATGGATATAGAAAAAAAAACAAGCTATCAGCATTATTATAATGTGACAGTGTCAAGAAAACATCTGCAAACCTTCATAGAAACACCCTCAGATGAACCTGTCAGGGATATATATATACAGTTTTGACAAGGTTCAGATGCCAGACCATTATGATATGTCAATAATAAAGTATGTACAATGTTGGTTAGCTTGCCAACAGTAGAAACAATAAATTGTGTATATACTATTTTATTAGCTTGATGATATTCCATTGTCTATTATATACTTGAAGAAGATAATGTTGATGTCTTTAATACTATTAGTATGTAATGTACAATTGTATTAGGTTTCATTTTTTTTAGGGATGAATGAATGAAAAGTTTGGTGTTTGTTTGCTTTTTTCAGACCTTGAATTATAAACAATCCATCTATATTAACATTTTTGTGCTTTAAGCTAGCTAGATATTGGTAAAAAAATGAAGATCAGTTCACTGTTGTCTTTTTGTTTTTCTTCAACAGTAATACATGTATATATATTATTAATGTAACATAATTATCAGACAATAAGTATGACAATATCCAGGTAAATATGTTATCAATAAAAATATTACAGCTGATATTTGGATTCTTGAACCTTTTATTCTACAAAGAAAATGCAGAAATACCAATTAAGTTTGGAAAAGAATTTAGCGATTACCTTGGATCTACATGTAATGTCCTTTTTAATGAACCTTGGATGCATGTTTTATTTTATATATAATGTTCCTTGTTTAGGTCTTCTTTACCTTGGATTTTCTCTATAAATCTTGGTTGTTATTTGCTTTTTTCTGTGACAATTTAGTTGATATTAATATGTCTAGCTTTATTTGTACGTTGCTGCTGTTTCAAATGGTTCATGTGGAGAAGTTGGCAGGCACTTGTG